CCCGCCACCTTAGGTGTATGTGGCTGGCGCCTTAGCCGCTTGAGCCACAGGCGCCGAGCCTCTCAAAGAAGTTCTTTCCTAGAGACGCCATACACGGAACCTCTGTCACACAGGGGCAACCCTAAGAGTCCTTGACCCCTCCCACACGCAAAGGACCGCCCGGAAGACCATTCTCAAAGCCAATACACCCCTTCCCTAAACCCCCTCCGAACTCGAACTTAAGACTCTGCACTCACGTAGAAATCCACCTCCACACACGTTCTGAAAGGTGGCCCTACCCCCAACAGATATCTCGGCTCCCCCCCACCCCCGCCTTACAGCCACCCAGCCCCAAGGCAACCTCCAGGCATCCTCCCACTCTCTAGGCAGAAAAAAGATGGAGTCTTGCAGAACCCGCCCCCTGCAGCAGAATTCCTCCTCCTCATCCGCCCCTGCAGGGAGGAAGGGAGGATCACTCTCGGGACCCTAGGCTGGGACGATCTCCCAGGACCGAATCCTAGTGCCAGCTCAGGGAGTTTGTCAAAAGATTCAACAAATGGAAAGAGCACCGCCCCTAGCCATAATCCTGTCTAAGTTATTATTATTTACATTGCCCAGATGGGAAACTGAGGTTGAGCAGCACAAATCCGAAGGACGAAGTCTCGAAGTAAGATTCCGAGATGTGACCTAAACCCAGCCAGACAGGACTGGGACACTGCCCCTAACGCCGTATGGCACGTGGAGGCGAAGGGGCGGGACTTGAGAACAGGAAGTCACCTTTGCCCATAACCAAAATGGCCGCAGAGAGGCGGAAGTTTCTGTACTTTAAGGCCTCTCTTTCTCTCCTGGAGGCTCGCTCTCAATGGTGGTGTGACGGGGGCGGGGGTGGCGGCGCGTCCTCCTAAACTGGTAGACCACCGACCAGCAAACCCTAGCCAGAAGGGCATTCGGTCCGGGGGACTGGTGGGGGTTGGGAGAGGGATTTGACATGTCTCTCGAAGACCCTTTTTTTGTAGTCCGAGGGTGAGTGACAACGACGGGAGAGGGCGGAAGGCGCTCAGTCCCCAAGCCAGCCAGTTCTTGAGTGCGGGCTAGAGCGTGCCAGGCGGGCTGGGCACGGTCGTCCGGGTGCTTTGGTTGCCCTGAGGCCGAATAGGAGGGGTACGCAAGGAGGATATGAGGGCTTCTGAACGCCCCATTCGCTTGGGGGCGCAGCAGGAGGCAGGAGCAGGCGCGAGGACCGCCTGTCCCCAGCCGCGCCCGCTGTGCCCCTGCCTGCAGCGAGGTGCAAAAGGCGGTGAACACGGCCCGCGGTCTATACCAGCGCTGGTGCGAGCTCCTACAGGAGAGCGCGGCTGTGGGACGCGAGGAACTAGACTGGACGACCAATGAGCTGCGGAATGGCCTGCGCAGCATTGAGTGGGACCTCGAGGATCTGGAAGAGACCATCGATATCCTGGGCTTTGGGTGGCGGGGCATGAGGGAACTCATTGAGGGGGTGGCGGGGGCCACAGAGAGCCAGCCATTGGGAAGGCCGGATGGGCACTTGGGAGGTGTTGAGTGGAGGTTGGAGAAGGGTAGAGGGAGATGGGTATCTGGCTCTGGCTTTGACCCTTGACTCTCAGCTCACGGATAGTGGAATCCAATCCAGGCAAGTTTAAGCTCCCAGCTGGAGACCTGCAGGAGAGAAAGGAGTTTGTGGAGAGGATGCGGGAGACGGTCCAGGTGAGGACAGCTTGGGGCAGTGGTGCTGTAGGGAGGTTAAAGTGTCTTTATTCCCTAATGTTGTCCTCACCCCCAGGAAATGAAGGACCGTATGGTCAGCCCAACAGCCATAGCCTTCATGGAGAGGAATAACAGAGAGGTAAGGCACCCTGACCCTACATGCCCACCCTAGTCTCTCTCAGTGACCTACCCCTTTGCGTGCAAGCCTGATCCCTATGTGTGTCAGTGCTCATTTGCTCTGTGTGCAGCTGTCTTCTGGCTGTCTATCTACATCTCTTTCTGGATGTGTACACCTGAGCCCTCTCTGTGTGTATATTTCTGTGGGTACCTCTCTACTTTCTCCTTCAGCTTTATGCTGGTTTCCTGTTAGGGAGCAGAGGGCTGGGGCTGTATGCCTATGCATTTTGTGTTTCCATGCCATTTGCTCGGTGCACTGCTATTTCCAGAATGTATGCCTGCTTTGTCTTTGTGTATGTACCTAACCTACCGAAGTGTGTGCACTCAGCCTCTGAGAACACCTCTGTTTGCCCCTGATGTATCTCCATCCCAGTTCCCAAGTGAGTGTTCCTAACCTGTGTGCATACCACTTGTGCACATGTGTTCTCTCTGACGCCTCTGTCTATCCTTCTCCTCCATGTTGTGTGTCCAGTCTTCCCTTGTCAAAAGCCCCAGCCTACCAGCCTGAGCAAGAGTGAGACCCCATCTCAAAAAATAGCCTGGCATTATGGTGGGCACCTGTAGTCCCAGCTACTTGGGAGGCTGGGGCAAGAGAATCACTTGAGTGATTTTCTACCAAGGGCAACAAAGTGAGACTCCCTCAAACAAGCAACAACAACAACAAAATAGTTTTTCTCCATTTCTTCATAAGCCCACAAGGGGTTTGGAAGGGTAGAGAACTTGAGGCCCTTATCAGTTGGGCATCCTGTATTGCCTACGCATCTTCCAGATGAGCCACCTTAAGGATTAAATGTCAAAATCTAAAATATATTTAATAATAACTCCTTGCTCAATGCTTTGCAGTCACTTTGCCTATCGCCAGCCCTGGGAAGAGCCACTTGATTAAGGTCATGCACTAGTGATGGAAACAGAATTCAAACCTGGGCTGCTGTCTGTCCCCTTCTGACTCCATTATGAAATAATAATCCAAGAAAACAATAAAAGGTGACATTTATTAGCACTTAGTGTGCTATGGTCACTTAGTGTGTCCCCCATGGATTAATTCATTAAATCTTCATTCCAGGCTTGGCGCCTGTGGCTCAAGTGGCTAAGGCGTCAGTCACATACACCTAAGCTGGCGGGTTTGACTCTAGCCTGGGCCCACCAAACAATAATGACAGCTGCAACCAAAAAATGGCCAGGCGTTGTGGCGGGCGCCTGTAGTTCCAGCTACTTGGGAGGCGGAGGCAGGAGACTCGCTTGAGCCCAGGAGTTGGAGGTTGCTGTGAGCTGTGATGCCATGGCACTCCACCCAGGGCAATAGCTTGAGGTTTTGTCTCAAAAAAAAAAAAATCTTCATTCCAACCCCAGGAAATAAGGATTAATGTTCCCCCCATTTTATAGATGAGAAAACTGAGGCACAGGAGGCATGGTCTTGGGGGGAACCTAGACTGTCCTGTTCCATAGATGGTCTTCCTCACTTAGCACCTTGTAGATGTGCCACAAACAAGCCTTGCTCAGGTGTTCCTCCCTGAGCCTGTGGTCTGTGTCTGCACAGATGCTGGCAGCTAAGCCAGCTGCCCAGAAGTCACCCAGTGACCTGCTAGATGCCAGCGCAGTCTCAGCCACCTCTCGCTACATTGAGGAACAGCAGGCCATGCAGCAGGTTTGTGTGGATCACCAGGCCCTGGGATGGAAGAGGCAGCAGACTGTTCTGGGGTCCCTGCCAACTGCCCCTACCACCTTTCTGCTCTGCAGCTAATCATAGACCAACAGGATCAACAGCTGGAAATGGTGTCTGGAAGCATCCGGGTTCTGAAACACATGTCTGGCCGTGTTGGGGAGGAATTGGACGAGCAGGGCATGTGAGGCCAGGCCCCCAGAAGTGGTCCAGGGGCAGGGGCCCTCAGCCATCCTGGTGTGCTTAGGCCCTTTGGGAGCTGATTACATCCTGGTAATTTGCAGCATGCTCGATGCCTTTGCTCATGAGATGGACAACACTCAATCCCAGATGGATGGGGTCCTCAGGAAGATGGCCAAAGTTTCTCACATGACAAGTGGTGAGTCCCCCAGGTGCCAGTAGGTCCTGGTGGGGGCAGGTCATAGGCGATACCCCCTCTCATGTGACTTCTGACTTTCTTGTCCCCAGACCGGCGACAATGGTGTGCCATCGTGGTGCTACTTGGGGTTCTTCTCGTGGTTTTAATCCTACTCTTCTCTCTCTGACCCCAGCCCACCCTGAGGGACTGGTCCCTCATGCCAGGGTAGCTGTCACACTTTCAAGCTGGCCCTGCCTCCTGGGAGGAGATGATCCCCCCTAGGGGCCAACCCTCTCATTCAGAGCTAGTGAGACCTTCAGGGCCTTGGGCTAAAAGCCCTGCCCCAGTCCTATCTCAAGTGCGCTTAGGGGGTGGAAGAGGTAGGGAGACCTCAGACACACCCCTCCCCGTTTTCTATTTCCGGTGCCCCAAAGCCAATTTAGAAATAAAATCCCAGCCTTTTTTTGTACATAATTGTATCATATGGTGTATTGACTACAAACTTGTGATTGAACTCTGATTGGAACTCCCATTCTAAGCCACTGTGTGAGCAGGGGCCCTGGTGTGCATGCATGTACATGCATGGTATGGGTTTCAGTGGTTGATATTTGGTGCAGAAGAGACTATTCTGGTTTATTTCTTGGTTTTAGTAACATAATGTATTACTATCGAAAATTTCAAACCCTGATCTTTCCTTGAGCTTTTTTTTTTTTTTTTGAGACAGAGCCTCAAGCTGTCATCCTGGGTAGAGTGCTGTGGCATCACAGCTCACAGGCCTCCCAAGTAGCTGGGACTACAAGCGCCTGCCACAACGCCTAGCTATTTTTTGGTTGTAGTTGTCATTGTTGTTTGGCAGGCCCAAGCTGGTTTCGAACCTGCCAGCTCTGGTGTATGTGGCTGGCGCCTTAGCTGCTTGAGCTACAGGAGCCAAGCCTTTCCTTGAGCTTTTAAAGTTCTACCTGGGGCCAGGCCCAGTGGCTCACACCTGTAATTATATATATATTTTTTTTTGCAAGAAGACCCAAGAAGTTTCTTTCTTTCTTTTTTTTTTTTTTCTGCAGGGGCTGGAGGTTTGAATTCTCCACCTGTGGCATATGGGGCTGGTGCCCTACTCCTTTGAGCCACAGGTGCCACCCTTTTTTCTTTTTTTACGCCTCAAGCTGTTGCCCTGGGTAGAGTGCTGTGGCATAACAGCTCACAGCAACCTCCAACTCCTGGGCTTACGCGATTCTCTTGCCTCAGCCTCCCAAGTAGCTGGGATTACAGGCGCCTGCCACAATGCCCAGCTTTTTGTGGTTGTAGTTGTCATTGTTGTTTGGGCAGTCCAGGCTGCTTTTGAACCCGCCAGCTCTAGTGTATGTGGCTGGTGCCTCAGCCGCTTGAGCTACAAGCGCCACCCAAGAAGTTTATTTCTTCACTGAGAAAGGTGACATACACTAAATGATTGGGCAGTGCCTGTGGCTCAAGAAGTAGGGTGCTGGCCCCATATGCCAGGGGTGGCAGGTTCAAATCCGGCCCTGGCCAACAAAAAATGCAAAAAAAGAAAAAGTAAAATGAGTAAGAAGGAAGATTTACTGGTCTCAATTTCCCAGGTGATATTCAACATCTTATCTAGATGTCACTAGGATTTTTAATATTTTCTTGAAAAATAATCTTGTATCAATTTCTGTTCCTTGTGGAAATGACTAACATCTCTGCAGAACAGGATCAATGACATTGCCCCGTCTGTGCTATAGAAGGTGTGGGATGGAGGAGGCTAAAGACTGCTGGCAGGGAAGGCATCTGTATGGTCTCAAAATGTCAGGATGGTACAGATGCTCTTTCCAGAGCAAAGCAAGTCAAATCCTTCATTTATCTTCTCAAAAGGTAGAACATTGGTTATTAATGTATCCAGTGAAAACTTCTTAGCCATAAAATCAGCCACAAGATTGGGGACAGAATTTTTACTCTTACAGCCACCAAAAACACCTCCTTTCCAGGAGTATTCCGTCAGTAGCAGTATAGGGTTCATCAAGCGGTTTTGAGAATAAGGAGGGACCCCTACAATGACACTTGTGCCACATGGCTCATGACAACATAACAGAGCAGCCATCATAGTGTCAAGCTAACCAATGACCTCAAATGAAAAATCCACACCTCCATTGGTCATTTCTGCTATCACGTCCTGGATGGGCTGCTTGTAGTCTTATGGGCTGATGCATTCAGTGGCTTACGCCTGTAATTCTAATACTCTGGGAGGCATAGGCCAGTGGATTGCTTGAGCTCCGAAGTTCAACACCAGCCTGAATAAGAGCGAGACCTTGTTTCCTAAAAGATAGCTGGGCAGCGCCTATAGTTCAGTGGGTAGGGCGCCAGCAACATATACCCAGGCTGGAGGGTTCAAACCTGGCCTGGGCCAGCTAAACAATAACAACTGCAACAAAAAAATAGTCAGGCATTTGGCAGGCGTCTGTAGTCCCAGCTACTTGGGACACTGAGGCAAGAGAATCACTTAAGCCCAAGAGTTTGAAGTTGCTGTGAGCTGTGACAACACAGCACTCTAATGAGGGTAACAAAGTTGAGACTCTGTCTCAAAAAAAAAAAAAAAGATAGCTGGGCAGTGTGGCAGAGGTTGAGGTTAGATGTAAAGCCTAACAGTTACTTCTAAGGGGCTTTTGAGTGACATTGGGTTGGTTCCATTGCAAATCTAGTTCAGTTCCTCTCTGATAAGCCATAGAGCAGTGGTTCTCAACCTTCCTAATGCTGCGGCCTTTATCAGTTCCTGTGGGTCTCGACCCACATGTTGAGAACCCCTGCCATAGAGTCTTCCTGAGTACAGTTATTCCTATAAACAGCGGAAACCTTCAAGTGCTATGAATCTGAGATTATTAGATGTTTCCATACCAAACATTATGTAATCAGTCATCAAAAGTAGGCATCTCCGTTGCTCATTTATAAACTGCTGTTACAAAGATGTCCTTCTATTAACCAATTTGTCAAATCTTAAAAAGAAACATATGTAGAGAGTCCTTTTATATTGGCCTAGGTTCTCTTGATCCTTTCTGTATTTAATTCTAAATCTTCCTTAAAAGAAGCACTTTTGGAGACAGGTACCGAGGTGTGTGCCTGTAATCCCAGCTACACAGAAGCATAGATATGGGCATGGTGGCTCAAGTTTTTTTCTTTTTTTACTCACAGTTAAGAATAGTAAAGTATTGGGTGGCTCCTGTGACTCAAAGGAATAGGGTGCTGGCCCCATATGCCAGGTGGTGGGTTCAAACCCAGCCACAGCCACACACACACACACAAAAGAATAAATTATCCTAACAAACAAGCTGGCTCAAACTGCTAAGGTGCCAGCCACATACACCTGAACTGGTGGGTTTGAATCCAGCCTGGGCCTGCCAAACAGTGACGGCTGCAACCAAAAAATAGCCAGGCATTTGGCAGGCACTGAGATTACAGATCTCAGCTACTTGAGAAATGGAGGCAGGAGACTCACTTGAGCCCAGGAGTTGGAGGGTGCTATGAGCTGTGACGCCATGGCACTCTACCCAGGGGGACAGCTGAGGCTCTGTCTCAAAAAAAAAAAAAAAAAAAAAGCAAACATATTAATTTAAAAATGGGAAAAATTGGCTGGGCACAGTGGCAGGTGCCTATAGTCCCAGCTACTCAGGGATGAGGGAGGAGGGTTACTTGGGAGTTCAAGGCTGTAGCAAGCAAAGATCATGCCACTGCACTATAGCCTGGGTCAGGGGTCCTCAAACTTTATAAACAGGGGGCCAGTTCACTGTCCCTCAGATCCCTCAGACCATTGGAGGGCCAGACTGCGAGCCCCAGGATGAGTCAGCTGCTAAGCAGGACAAGCAGCAGCAGCAGAAACACCCGGTGGGCTGGATAAATGTCCTAGGCGAGCCACATGTGGCCCAAGGGTCGTAGTTTGAGGACGCCTGGCCTGGGTGATAGAGTGGGATCATCTTTATCTGGCAGTTGTGCCACTGCAAAGGGGGCTAGTATTACTGAAATATACTGCAGTTGCCCTGTGAATTGAAGTGTCTCACCGTCATCTTCCCCATGTATTTTGACACCCCTCCCAAGTAATCAGATTAGATGGACTTGGCTTGGACCAAGAGATGAAGGTTCCTTCTCCATCTTAGGGCAGATCTTTTGACCTAGCAGGATCACTAAGGTTAAGATATTTACTAAATGGCTCGACACCTGTGGCTCAAGTGGCTAAGGTGCCAGCCACATACACCTGAGCTGGTGGGTTTGAATCCAGCCCAGGCCCGCCAAACAATGACGGCTGCAACCAAAAAAAAAAAAAAAAAATAGCCGGGCATTGTGGCGTGCGCCTGTGGTCCCAGATACTTGGGAGGCTGAGGCAGGAGACTCGCTTGAGCTCAGGAGTTGGAGGTTGCTGTGAGCTGTGATGTCACAGCACTCTACCCAGGGGGACAGCTTGAGGCTCTGTCTCAAAAAAAAAAAAGAAAAGAAAAAAAAGATATTTATTTACTAAATATCTTTCCCATGTTACTTTGAAAATTGACCATGTTATTTTTTAATCAATGGGGCCCTTTCGCTTGATGGGATCCCAAGGTCAGTAAATACTTTTCCCATGTTATTTCAGATTAATTCCATTAATTATCTTTGAATCTACAGGGCCTCAAGGAACCTGAATGTTTTTCTTACTTGATAGAATCTTTTGTCTTTTCATATCCTCAGATGTGTGGCAGGACCAGTCAGAGGGTAAGGAATGTTAATGCTTTTCTGTACCTGTTGGGTAGCTGGAAGGAACTGGTAACTGTCAGCCTGGAGTCAGGGTGGCCTGGGTGTGCTAGGCATAGCACCCATGGTGCCCCCCCAGTCCCGCACACCCCCAATAAACAGCATGCGGCAGGGCTGTTACAAAGGCGTTTAGTTTATTCTCATCAGTATCACTGATATCCTCATGGTTCACATTTGCCAACACCTCTCCTCTCCTTACAGTAGTTAATGTGCAATCTCACTTGGGGGCCCAGGAAGGGAGTAGGGGTTTGGCCCAGGGCAAGGAGGGTGTTGGCACTTCACATGGACAGGGTGGGTGGCCTGTCCCACGTGAAAGAGGTTTAGGTGAGTGGGGGCCAGGGAAGCAGAGCTGGGTGGGGGGGCCCCAGTCTTTCTGATGATTCCCCATTCCTATTCCTTCCTGGCTGCCCAGGGTGAAGGGACCATGCAGCTCAGAGCAGAGCAGGGCAGGAAAAGAAGGGAAAAGCAGCAGGCTGCCCTGGGTGGAGAGGATGGCAAGGCAAGAGGGGTGGGTAAGCTCTTGGGGTAAGGCACAACCCTGTCTTTGGCTCTCCTGGTGAGGAGTATCCTCCCCTGCACCCCCTGCCCAGACCCTCTCCCCACCCCCAACCCCCCACCCCCCCTAGACCCACGCACACAGTCCCGGGAGCCTGGGGCACCTCCTGGGGTCCCTGAAACAAGTGGGCTCTGCCACCCAAGCCAGTGCTCAAAGAAGTGACAGGGGCAAGTCCCACCCGAGGAAGAGGCAGGGAGGAACAGGCAGGGGCCTCCCCAGGACAAGGGGATGGGGAGGAAGAAAGACCCCCTGGTCCCAGACAGCTGCCCCCCCACACTAAGGCCTGGAAGGAGGGGAGTGCCTAGGAACTCCTGCTTCCTTTTGGGGGTCTGACTGGAGGTCCCACCCACTCCTTACCCCCACTGGGCATAGCTGCTGCCAAGTGACCAGGATATTGTGCTTTGGGAAATCAATGCTGGGGTGGGATGTCAGGCTAGGAGGGCAAGGTAAGGGGAGGGATGGTGACTAAGGTGCTTGTGCTTTAGCTGGGGGTGTTGACTCCCTCCCCCTCCAGGACAGATGGCTGGGGGCTAAGGTGCTGAGGCTGGGCCAGGACAGCAGAGCACCAGGACCCCGACACCCCAGACTGACCCCGGCAGTAAGCAGATGTTAGAAGGGACCCCCAGCAGGCAGGCAGGGCTGCTGAGTCAGGTGGATGGTCTCCAAACCACTCAAGAGAGTCTAATCAGGGCCCTACCTCTTTACAGAGGCCACTAAGTGTGATGGGAGATGGGGAGGGAGGTCAAGGGCCACGAACACAACTGTGAGATGGTGAAATGACAACCCATGTGGGGGAATGGTGAGTAGGAAAAAAAGCCCTCCATGTTCACATGTAAAACTAAAAAAATAGAAAGGAAAGGTAAGAGAGAAAATTCTGCAAACAAATCCTATCAGTGGAAGTGGGCCTGGCCCTGCCCAGCCCTTGAAGAAGCCATCTGGCCAAGACCTGGGACACCCTTTAAACTGTAGCCCTGTTGGGGAGGGGGACAAGAGAAGGAGAAGCTGGGCAGACCCACAGGAGCCTAGGTGGCACCTGGGACTGGGGCCCCACCACAGAAACACACACCTACACATGTGCACACATTCAGCCTGCCCCCAGCACCCCCACGACAGCCTGCCTTCCTCAGCCCAGGCCTGAGGGGGACATTGGACACAGTTCCATTGGTTTGAAAAATAAAAGGGATCTTATACTTCAATAGTTCATTCGCTAAAAAAAGTTTTAAAAATTATGTACAGGGGTTGTGGAGGCCTGGGGCTCTGCTGTGGGGTGGGATGTGGTGAGGAGAATAGAGAGAAGGGGCCCCCTACTGCTTTAAATCTTCATTTGTCTGAAAGCAAAACTTCTATACACACACACACACACACACACACGCACACACACACGCACGCACGCGCTCTGCCAGCCCTGCATACCTCTTCTCCTAGCCTCTGAGACCCTCCATCTTCCCCCAACAACTCCCTTCCTTAGGACTTGCCTCTCTCAGGCTCCAAGGGACCAATGGGGGACAACAGAGGCAGGGGAGAGGAGAATGGGCACTGGGCCCTCCACCTTAGGTCAGTTGTGCAATTTCTCTGAGCCTCAGTTTCCCCAGCTGTAAAATGGGTAGTCTCCACAGCCTCGCCTACCCCAGCCCCCAGGCACAGGGACAGACGAGGGTGACAGGAAGGCGCTTTTGGAGACGTGGAAGCACTGGGAGGTGGCAGGAGGGGTCCTGAGAACCCCTGGGGGCCCCCCCTCAAGTCCCAAGGGGCTGCAGTGAGGGGCAGAGGCTGAGGAATGCTTCCGTGTAGGGCAATCCAAGGCCTGGGGAGGGGGCCTTCCCAAGCCCCTCAGGCCAGTCCCCTCTCCCTGGTGGGCCTGGTGAGTGGACAGATGATTGCTAGGGGTTAGGGGAGGAGTCAGAGCTCCCAACTGCACGAGTATGTGTTAAAGAAGGCAGCATGGACCTCGGTCATCTGCCCTGGCATCCTCTGTCCTCTCCCACCTGGCCGGCTCGTGTTGGGGGAAGAGAGTAGAAGAGGGGAGGCAGAGGGGCTAGGAGCATGCAGCACCCCCCCGCGGGCCCTGGGGAGGGACAGACAGTAGCTCGTGACCAAGATGGTGGGCAGGGGTGTGATGGGAGGGGAGTGTGCAGCCCAAGGGGAGGGTCCGATGTGGGTTACTGCAGGCCCTCAGCTGAGGGGCCTGCCTCGCCCTCATGGCCAGTTGTCTCAAAGCCATGCTCCACACCCATCATGTCTGGCTCTATCTTGCCCACACCCATCATGTCTGGCTCTATCTTGCCCACACCCATCATGTCTGGCTCTATCTTGCCAACGCCAATCATGTCTGGCTCTATCTTGCCCACACCCATTACGTCTGGCTCTATCTTGCCCACGCCCATCATGTCTGGCTCTATCTTGCCCGTTTCGCTGATGAAGGTGGTGTAGGTATCACCCTCAGTCTTGAGCACCTTGAGCTTGGGCATCCAGCTCTTGCGCACGACGCGGCGGGCATTGGTGCACATGTCGGCTGCAATGGCATTCATCTCACTCTCCTTGAAGTTTGGGGCGAAGTTCTGGCAGTAGTCTATGTAGGCAGGATAGGGAAGGTGGCTCAGATGTGGCACGGCCATGACACAAGTCTGACTGGTTTCTCATGAGACCACCCATTCCCTACCATCTGTGACCTCCGCCTCAGAGGGGAGACAACTGAGGCCAACACATGGGACTTCAAACCACAGACCAACACCTCCTGTTCCCAAATGCCTGACTTTGGCCACATGTAGGGAAATGTGGGTTTTGATGTGCTAGCAACACATTCTTGAACAATTGGGATCATTTGCCAGAATTTAGTAACTGGAAGAGTCCACATGGAAACCTTGACTCACTCTAACAGGTGGCTAAAACCATCTGGTGTGGTGGTGGCCCCTTTTGGCAGGTTCTGCCAGCCGCTTCATCCCTCCTATGACCTCCCTGAGTTTGAGATCCTCCTGATACAGGCCCCCTGACCTCTCTTTGGCACCTCTGTCACCCAAGCACAAAGAAACCTATCAGTCACAGCCCTCTTCCCAACAAGCCTATACTGAGCCTCAGAATCCTTCTCAATACAAAACTGCACCCATACATCAGGGCCAACGCTGGAAGAATACACAGTCTGCCTGCCAGCCCTTTCTCCCAAAGTACAGACACTCACACTTGACAGCATGAAGAACACGGCTGTCCAGTGGCTTGCGGGTAGGGTTGTTGCTAGAAGAGCGGATGCCAGTACCACAGCTGTTGGCCAGTGTGTTCCTGGGGGCAGGGTGGGGGGCACAGAGGTACTCAGTAATGGTGGCAGTGATAAGGGGCACAGGGCAACCCCACTACCCTTCCCCAGGGTCTGGCAAGGGCCTCACCGGTCAAAGAAGGCAGCCAGGAGCCGCCGCAGCAGGACCTTGTGCCGCGTGCCTGCGCTGACATGGCAGTTCATGAGCTGTGCCCTTGTGATGTACACGTTGGTGCCTGGTGAGGATAGGCCAGAGGATGGCTCAGAGTGCCCCAAACACACCCCCCATGAGGCCACACCATCATGTGGGCCCAACCCCCTTCTCAGAAGCCCTGAGACTCTCTACTGGGCTCTGGGTCCCCACTTTTGCCCCAAGGATCTTCTTCCTTCCCCCTGAGGGCAGTCGAGTGAGGCTCCTAGGGACTCCCCGTCTGTCATCACTCAGGAAAGGACAGAAAAGAGTAGTGTCACCATTTATAGCACTACTGTGTGTGCCGAGTCCCATTGTGAGCCTAGTACAACCACCTGTGTGTGGCTGTAAGGACCTTGACTGTGGCCAGCTATAGAGTATGGAGGAGTGGAGCCTCATCACCATACACTGTGACCTCAAGGCCCCTTTTTTTTTTTTGAGACCAAGTCTCACTCTATTGTCCTGGCCAGAATGCTGTGGCATCATAGCTCACAGCAACCTCAAACTCTTGGGCTCCAGAGATCCTTTTGCCTCAGCTTCCCAAATAGCTGAGACTATAGGTGCCCACCACAGAGCCCAGCTAGTTTTTCTATTTTGAGTAAAGACAAGGTCTCACTCCGGCTCAGGCCAGTCTCTAACTCCTGAGCTCAAGCAATCCACCCACTCCAGCCTCCCAAAGTACTAGGATTACAGGTATGAGCCACCAGGCCCAGCTCTCATTTTTCTATTTTTGATAGAAACAGGGTCCCACTCTTGCTCAGGCTGGTCTCAAATTCCTGGCCTCAAGCAATCCTCTTGCCTCTGCCTCCCAATGCAATAGAATTAGAAGCAAGAGCCACTTCACCCAGCCAAATTCTTAACAGCTATGGTAGTTAGCCTTCACCCCCCACCCTATGAAGTAGCTAATCTACCTGCCTGTGGCCAAACAGTATTAGCCAACCCCTGAGCTAGAAACCTAGGGGTACGTCTTTGATTTCTATCAACTCACCTAATGCTACAGCCATCACAATATTGAGGCAGCTGCGGCCCCAGGACAGTGGCCAGGGCACCAGCTCCTAATCAGCCACACAACTCAGCCCAGCTTAGAGTGCACTGAGGCCCCAGGCAGTGGAGCAGGTAGATCCTGGGACAAAGCTGGCTGGCTCACCTGTTACCAGCTCCAGCTTCTCGGAGGGGTCACCCTCATCATAGAGCTTGAGGTGGCAGCGGTTGCCAATCTGGTTGATGAGTTCAGTGGGGAGAGAGGCCAGGTCTTGCCGTACCCGGATGCGATTGCGGGACTCAGGGGTCACCTGCTCAGGGAGGGCCTCCACCTTCTCAGCTGCGGAGGAAAAGTGGTATGCACGTGTCAGGGGGAGGGGATGCCAGGCCTGGGGATGGGGTGTGGGAAGCCGGGACACGCCGCACCTGTCTGGCTGACGTTCATCATGCTATACATGGTGTACATGTTGCAGATCTGTCGGTATTGCTCGTCTGTACCCTCCTCGCCTCCGTCTTCCTCCTCGTCCTCCTCATTGTGGTAGGAACTAGGGCTATCGCTGGTGTAGGCACTCGAAGTGCCTAGAGATCTAGAGAGGGATAGCGAAAGTAAGATCACCCTGGCCCTTTGCACCATAGAGTAGGGCAGACCTGGCCCAGCCCCAGCCCCGGCCCCAGCCCCAGCCCCAGCCCCAGCCCCTGTTGCTGCTACCACCACTGCTGCCACCCCAGTGGGTTGGGCTGCTGCCACCACTGGGGCCTGCTGGTGTGGCCGGTTGGCAACCAGGTCTAGAGTAGAAAACTTGGCCATCTTGCGGCTCCCGTTGCCGCTGCCTCCAGCCTCCTTCTGGCTGCTGTCCCACAGCCGCTTGGCCACAGGCGTGCACTGCACAGAGTCTGATTCCTGCTGCTCCGTCTTGACCCGTGACACAAGGGACAGAGGAGTGCTACAGGCCGGCCAGCCTGACGTCTGCACCACAGGGCTCTGGGGCTCGGACCACGGGGCCTCTTCGGCGTGCAGGCCCTGGGAGTCGCAGCTTGGGGAGCTCACCTTGAGGAAGAATTCTGTGCCCTTCTCCATGATCTCCTGGATCTGTAGGAAGCCGGCTGTGTACATGAGTAGAAACTGGTCACCCACGTTCATGCTCAGGCGGCCTGTATAGCAGAAGCTAAGGATCTGCTGGAAAGACTGAGGCTGCACAGCCGCCGGCAGTTCCACCACCGCGCTGCGGCTGCTGTTGAAGAGGTCCCGGAAGTAAGAGCTGCTGGCAGCCAGCACAGCCCGGTGGGCCTTGAAGGCATGGCCTTTGACCACCACAGACACGTCACAGTACAGGCCTTGCAGCCGCTGCTCATTGAGGCACTCCAAGATGCTGTTGCCGAAGTTTGGGATCTCCATCTGCAGCGTCTGTGCCATGGTGGCAACTGCACGGGATACAGGGAAAGACAAAAGGACTGGGTCAGGGTCCAAACACTGGGGCTGCCTGGCCCTGCTCTCAGACCTCCTCTGCTGGAGGGACATCCACACAGTGCAATTTGTCCTCACCATACTAATCAGAGTCCCAGAGCCCCTCCACTCCTTCTGTCCTGTTAGGGACCTGCTTTTATAAGATCCTGTCAAATCAGCTAAGCCAGCTATAGACTAGAGTGGCCACATGCTGTCCCTTGCAGAGAGATGGGCAAAGGCATATTTCCCCATGTTTAACTGAGTTCACCAAGAGCTTGGAAGGGTGGCGAGGACACAGTGAGTGCCTATAAGCTCAAACCAGTGATAACTCATGCTGCATGCCTAGGGTACCTTTGCAGCACACTAGTATGGAAATGCCAAGAAGGCAGGGTCACCTGACTGTGCACCAGAGTTCACAGTGCCCAGCACGTGAGCCTTAATCACCATTTACTGAATGACTGCCACTAAGCTGCATAGAATCAAAAAGTTGATGATGCGAAGGCTATGTTAACCGGTTTGATGAAA